CACAACGTGACAGAACAATGTGTAGGTAGTGAGTAATTGATCTGCAGTCACAGGGTATTGTTGAAGTTAACGTTCGTTCGTTATAGTGTTTGTTATAGCACGACTGTTGAAATTAAGTGTATCATAAAGTTATATTCGGAAAGAATAAACCAGTTTTATTAAGTAAGGACTTGTGTCACTAAAATTTCGTCGGAACGAAGTTACGGAAAATTAATTAACAAACGGAGACGTAACAATATTATTATGCTACCTAAGTTACTAATACCAACGGCTGTATAAGATATTATTATGTTACCTAAGTTACTAATACCAACTATATTCTTAGTAATGTCATAATTTTTGTGATTATTATTATACTAGCGAAAGTACCCGATTATTAGGTTGATATATTCTAGTTGAGTATGTCAGTGTGTGTATTCTGAACCTATTTTAGCATAGAAGAATAGTCAAAAATATTGTAAACATTTCTTTATTTCCCAGAGACATAGAAAAGTCGCAAGAATATTGATAATAATAACATTATTATAGATAATTATAGATGCCACTATACGTCACGTTATCTAATCTCTATAAAAGCCATCGCGTCACATCACGTTTGATTTCTCAAAATAAGAGGAGTCATAAAAGCGGAAATACATTTATCCAGATAGAATAGTTCGTTTTGTAGAGTTTTTAGATTTTATTTGATACTTTCAACACATAGACTAACAACAATATTAAAAAGACGCGCACGCACGTGCGTGTCTGTCTGTCTGTGATTTCTATTTGTAATGTAAGGAAATGCACCGTTAACTAATGTTTGATACAATTATTGTAACAGTATAGATTCTGAATGACCTACTTATTTACTCCATCGCGATGTTGAGAAAAACAGTGTTCACTGATTTGGTAATCAAAACTAGAATGACATTGATAAATCAAAAATTAATATTGAATGTTATTAAGGAAAACTATAGTCATTATTAAATAACTAAGAAAGTGTCACTGTTACTCCGATATTGTTAAAAGGAACAGTATAATCACTGTATTGGAAAAAAAAAACTGTCACTGTTACACAAGAAGCCGATTCTGCTATTGTTGAGAGAAGTAATATTCACTGACTTTGCAACTAAGAGATATTGTTAGTACACCGAAAGGTTTCTACTGATGTTGTTGATTATTCTTGAATTGATAGTACCTCAGAGAATTTCATTCATATATCAAAACCTTGGTAACGCACGTAGATAAGTAATAATTGAGCCTGGCATAGCCAGGTGGTTAAGGCACTCGACTCGCAATCTGAGGGTCGCGGGTTCGAATCCCTGTCACACCAAACATGCTCGCCTTTTCAGCCATGGGGGTGTTATAAGGTGACGGTCAATCCTACTATTCGTTGGTAAAAGAGTAGCCCAAGAGTTGGCGGTGGGTGGTGATGACTAGCTGCGTTCCCTCTAGTCTTACACTGCAAAATTAGGAACGGCTAGCGCAGTTAGCCCTCGTGTGGCTTTGCGCAAAATTCAAAAACCAACAAAAAAAAACAACAGATAAGTAATAATACACAGGTGCACACCGCGCAGATGAGTTTCTGTTTGTCTGTGATTTCTATTTGTAATATAAGGAACCATATAAAGATAAGATATAATGATAAGATAAGTAATGCCCAGGTCCACACCCTCAGTAAGGGAGCAAAATTGCAGGTTTCTAGGTTATTTCCTCTTGGAGATATGACGGTCACATATTCTTTCCTATGTGGTTTTTCCCTACCTTGCCTCATAAAAAGATGCGCTCACGCACAAACCCTCAGGGTCCACTTAGTATGTGTGCAAAATTTCAGGTTTCTAGGTTCTTTCCTCTTGGAGTTATGGCGGTAACACACAGACACGCACTTATATTATTATAAATATAAAGCTCCATTTAGGGACGAGAAAGGTATTCATACATTTTCTCAATAGATGGCGAAACCGTTGTATAAACATGCTGTACATTTGAGTTTGGTTTTGTTATTCATAAAATTCATAAAAGATACCGATAGTATCTTACTCAATGACAAGTACCTGTTATGCTAGTAATAGCAGTGTTATTTTAGATTTATGTATATGTTCTAGTTCTGGAGGATATAGACAGTGATCATCTGGTAATTTGGTGCAACTTCGATCTCTATCCTAAATTATAATCAACAAATAAATATCCCTTAATTTAATTACAGAAAAGCAAACTCGACAAGATATCAGGAAATGCCAAAGAATAATCTGCCAGAAAACAACAACGATTAATATATAAACTATTAATTATTGTATAATAATTACTGCTGTACAATCACGGAGTACCTTATAAATGCAACAGAAATATGTATCCCAAGAACAACACAAATCACAATTAAATATGGAAATCTCATGAACAACTCCTTAATACACTAAAAAAAACGCAGAAAAAGTATTAAAACTTACATGAACACGCAAAACCCCTAACTAAAAACCAAACTAAATACACTCAGAAATACTATAAGAAACAAAATAAAAATATTAAAAGCTGATAATTGGAATCAATATTGCTCACAACTTAACACACACACACACACACACAGACCCAAAAGACTTCTGGTGTCAACTTAAAAAGATTTAATGGAAATAATACAAATAAACACTTATATCCCATTCTAAAATACAGTAACGTCTTAACTAACACAAACACAAAAAACACATACAAAACATCAAAGAACCTACAATGAACACATCATTCTACAATAAAGTTAATAGCCATCTTCATAAACAAAACCCTGTCGGTCCAACAAAGAAGTTGTGATACTCAGGATAACACACCTCAAGAAACCAATAACAGTGGTAGAAACATAAGACGAAAATAAGGTTCCAGGAAATGACAAAATACAATATATATATATATTTAAAAAAGCACACCACGATTGTACGAAAATCTAGAGGCCATATGCAATATATTCCTAAAATTAGATTACATACTAACTTCTTGGAAGCTAGAGCCAGCAAGTAAACCAGAAAGCTACAGACTTATCAGTCTAACCAGCTGTCTTGGAAAATTAGTAGAAAAAAATCACCATTTCAAGACTTTTGGCTTATCTCGAACTGACATCAAAATTACTTGAAATACAAAACGGGTCCCGGAAAAAAACAAAACAAAGAACAGACCATCTGGTAAAAACTCACAGAAACCATAGTGGACAGTTTTAACCAAAACGAATGTTCTGTTGCATACTTTGTCGATGTACAGAAAGCATTCGACACTGTATGGCACAACGTATTAAAATACCAGATATCAAAAATAAAACTACCGGGAGGTATTATTCACTGGCTCTCCAACTTTCTAGACAACGGGAACTTTGGAATTAATGTGTCGGGCACCTACACGGAGTACTTTACCCTGGAAACAGGTGTCCCGCAAGGAGGGGTAGTTAACCCTATAGTATTCATCGTGTAAGTGAATGAAATACCTCTGTCACATCCAGATTTCTGCTTTTGTCTCCAGTTTGTGAATGATGTCGCTATCTGAAAGAGTTCATGTACTATAACCGTGATTAAATGAAATAAAAAACTACTGTAACAGACCGAGAATTAAGATAAATGTCCCCAAAACACAAATCATATTTTTCACAAAATCAAAAAGAAGAGCAGACAGCTCCTAAAATTATATCTCTATAAAGCTCTTCTCCAGGTAGCCACATCAGCCAAATTCCTGTGCCTAACCTACGATTCTAAACTAAATTGGACTAAGCATATAAATGAAATTAGAAACAAAATTTAGCAAAGAGTTAATTACGTACGACGTCCGACTGGCAACAACAGGGGCACAATAACTTAAAACATACTCAAAATATATAAAACCTACATATGCCCAGTGGTAGAGTTTACCTGCTCAGTTTAGTTAAATGTAACCAAATCACAAATATACAGGTTACAGACAGTCCAAAATTCAATAACTATTAAAGCATACAGAGTTCCTAGATGCACAAACACAACCTTCTTACACAATTACACAAACATCCTCATGTTGTCAGACAAAACAGATCAATAAATTACTTCCACAAAAATGTTAACAAAAATACATCATTAAGAACTCTGAAAACTTTATCATACATGATGGAAATAGACGTAAACACCTCTCACCACTAAATTAAATCTGTTAAATTAGTTATGTAACCTTTGGCCACCTACTACTGGGTAAACCAGGAGCTAGATATAGTGCTGATTTTATTTATAAGTATAAATAAGATTAGTGCTGTATGTTTTTCTATAGGTATTTATGGAACTGTTTGTGTGAACAAACATTTACGTTGACAACGAACGAAAAAAGAAAAATATTTGCTGGAAAACAAAAAAAAACTACGACGTACATTTATGGACATGGCATGAAAAGAGCCACATACAAAAAAACCCACGTTGTACATTTATGGACATGGCCTGAAAAGAGCCACAAAAAAACTTACGTTGTACATTTATGGACATGGCCTGAAAAGGGCCACACACAAAAAACCTACGTTGTACATTCATGGAAATGGCCTGAAAAGGGCCACTCGCGTGTGCGAACGAATAATAGTACCGTGCAAGACCGCGTCGGTCTCTCTGATGACCTGAGAGAGAATTGACAATGTCTAATATCGAAGAAGCCGCCGTTGTAGCGCCATTTTTATATATTTAGCTACAGGGTGGTAACTACAGATTTTCAGTAAAGCTGCTGACAAACCTGGTGACTTTTATTAAAATTGAAAATTAAAATGTAACAAGTAGTGTGAAATTGTGAAGTGAATAAAAACTTGAAAATTCACACACATATATATATATATGTTGAATGATAATGGCTGGAGACGGCTTAAATAGGGTAAGTGAAGAAAAACTTAATATAAGTTT